TTTTGAGACAGAGTCTCACTTGTTGTTCTCAGTTGAGTACTATGGCATCACAAGTCACAGCATCCTCAGACTCTGGGCCTTAAAGGATTCCCTTGTATCAACCTCCTGGCTCTTGGGACTACAGGCGTCTGCCACAATACCTGGCTATTTTTTAGAGACAGGTTCTCACTCTTGCTTAGGCTAATCTCCAACCTGAGAGCTCAGGCAATCCACCAGCCTCAGCCTCTCAGAGTGCTAGGATTACAGGTGTGAGCCACTGTGCCCCCGCAAGAATAAAGTTTTAAAAAATAAAAAAATATGATGCTTTATATTCTAGTCCCTGTTTGCCTACCCAGACTCACTGAACTTGCTTTACTTCTTTCTTATGGGTTCATTGAGCCTCTTTCTTTTATAATACATCAGTGCCCTTTTTAGCTCAAGCCTTGTATTAATCATGTTTTTTATTTATGTATTTTATGATACTTTGACATATTTGGGGACTTGCAAATCCTAGACATATTGCCCCTGGTGACAGAGCTAGTTAATTTTTAGAGACAATGGACACCTTTCCTTTGCTCATGCCATTCATATGCAAACTAACATATCTAAAACCCATATCCCTTTTTTTTGAAACAGAGCCTCGAGCTTTTGCCCTGGGTAGAGTGCTGTAGCATCACTGCTCACAGCAACCTCCAACCCCTGAGCTTAAGTGATTCACTTGCCTCAGCCTTCCAAGTAGCTGGGACTACAGGCCCCCACCACAACACCCGGCTATTTTTTGGTTGTAGTCATTGTTTGGGCTGGATTTGAACCTGCCAGCTCTGATGTATGTGGCTGACGCCTTAACCTCTTGAGCTACAGGCGCCAAGCCTAAAACTCATATCCTTCAGGACCTCATCTAATTTATACATCAAGCCAGCATTGCCCTGCTCTAAATTACCCTAGGGATGGCTATTATGTAACAGGACTACCTATGTATCTTAGAGCCCTCTGAAAGTATTAAACCTATGCCATCCCAAACTTAACTCAAGGCTACCTACCCTGCATTGCCTGTTCCTTTCTGTGGTAACTAAGAATAATACCTACTAACAAAAAGACTTAGGGTCAGCTCTTCCTTGTTTTTCTGTCTCCTGATCAACGCTTATGCCTCTCCAGGTGGTTCTATGTGGTGTGGTATGCCCTCTCCTCTTGGAAATGCTAAGAAACTCTTCTCTCAGGGCGGTTGTCTCCATGTTTGTCATCTTACCATATCTGATTAAAACATTGTCCCAGATACATTTGAAACAAGTCATCATACATGTTGTCCCTCCATCTAAAATCTCCCTCCCACCCCTTTCCCTTTACTTGGGTAATCCTTGCTATTTCCTAGATGCCTGGTGATAGGTGAAGCTGTAATGTCAGAGATAAGACCAGGAGTGGAGAGATTCGGGCTAGGTTTATTGAAAGGGACAGTGACCTGCCTGGACAGAGAACAGAGGATGCCTGAAGGGCTTTGGTGGGTTAGGGTCCTTTGGCACAAATTTTGGGGGTGAGGCTAACTAACTAGGTCTTTTGTATCTTTTGTTTAGCAGAGTAGGAGGGGATTTGTAGGGCTATGTTAGGCCCCCCAACACCTGGTTAAAATGGGTCTCCTCTGATAAATCACCCCCAACCCTCAAAATAGTACAGATCAACTAGGGATAGGGGTTGATTGCCAAGGGAACAACCATATGATTAGAGGTTTGGAACTTGCAGTTCCACCCTCTCACCTCTGGAGAAGGGACAGGGACTAAAGGTTGAAATGATTACCAGTGGTCAGTAGTTTAATCATGCCTATGTAATGAAGCCTCCATAAAACCCCCAGAGACCTCATTTGTGTTCTTGTAGGGTAGAGCACTTGGAAGTGATACTGGCTAAGTCCAGGGCCATTCTGCCTGCCACTACACAAATTTTGCAAAGGGGAAAAGATTTAACTGCAAAGCTACCAGAGAGTAGGTTAGAGAACAGCTCTCAAATCCACTTCCCTGAAGATAAGGGTTGGGCATAATTGTGGGTTAGAGAAGTGGTATAGAGAAAGGTGAAAAATGAAGCAACAAGTTCCTTCTAAGCAAGCATAGTTGGAGTTCAGGGCATTTTATAGGACATAAGTACAGAAGATGATGGCTTTAGCATGACCTAAGTAAGGGCAGGGTTATGGACCCTCTGATGTCAAAAAGCCATCTCTCAGTCACTTGCTGATGAGTTGGTGGTTTTCACTGGTTTGAACTGGACAGGAGCTGGCCTAGGTTCCTGAAAAACTACTGAAGCAACCACCATTACTATAGTACTTATAAATGGTATCTATAAAGTAGCCATTGAAGGTTAAGTGTTAGTGGTGTGGCTTTCAGCTACCTAAGGCCTTTAGCTCATGGAAGAAAGAGGGAAAAAATAATAGAAACCAAGTGATCAAAAGCACACAGGACAGGCACACCTGCTTAAGTCAACCCCTGAGTTTCAGAAGGAGTATAGAAGCTTTGTGGTCCTTCCCACATACCTTGCCCCATGTGTGTCTTCCATTTGGCTGTTCGTCTGCATCCTTTGTAGTATCCTTTATAAGAAACCAGTAAATGTAAAGTTCTGTTACCTGCCCCAACAAATTAAACCAAAGGAGGGGATAGTGGGAACCTTGATTTAGAGCCATTTGGTCTCAAACACAGGCCACTTGACATTTGAAGTGGGGGAAATCTTGTAGAACCACCTTTGACCTGTGTACAGACCCAGGTAGATAGTGTCAGAATTTTGCTGACAGTGAAGAGCTACTAAAATAAATAAGAAAGTAAGCAAGAGAGAGGGAGGGAGGAAGGGGGGGAAGAATGAATGGAGGGAGGGAAAGAATGAAGAAGGGAAGGAAGGAATACAGCTGAACTAAAGGACATGGTGACACTTTGTCTTTGAGGGATAAAGAAAGCATACATCTCAAGTTAGGGGGCAAGGTGCAGGGAGAATTTTTGGTTTGAAGTTGTGATGAACAACTGTATAAAAACTATTTCTTTTCTTTTGGCTTATTTCCATTTGGGAGGCAGAATTGTTAGGCCGGGCTTGGTGTAGTGGCTCACTCCTATAGTCCTAGCACTCTGGGAGGCTGAGACAGTGAATTGCCTGAGCTCAGGAGTTTGAGACCAGCCTGACCAAGAAGAGTGAGACCCTGTTTCTAAAAAACAAAGAATAGTCAGGCACTGTGATGGGTGCCTGTAGCCCCACCTACTCAGGAGCCCGAAGCAAGAGAATTGCTTGGCTCAGCGCCTGTGGCTCTGAGCTAAGGTGCCAGCCACATACACCTGAGCTGGTGGGTTTGAATCCAGCCTGGGCCCGCCAAACAACAATGACGGCTGCAACCAAAAAATAGCC